AGCACTTCTGGTTGTCCATTCTTCTGTCGTTATCTTTAAACTGTATAGACCCTCAAAAACAGGATGATCATGAACAGAGGACTGTCATCTTTGAGCCCTTAGGAAATGCATAGCTGTCTTATGCTGAGTAAGATCATTAATCCATTTAGTCCAGTCAGATTTGACTGTCATAGTTTCAAGCAGGATGCTTTTCTTAACCCACATGAACACCTCTGGTATCTCCCGGTGGTCTTCCAACCAATTAGTAATCCGGTCTGAACCTGCTTAGCTTCCAAAGGTAGATGAAACAGGTGTGTTCCAGCTGGTACAGTGGTCCTTCAAATACAAGATTTCCCTCTCTAAAATATGACACAGTGGATACCCTAATTCTATGATGGAATATTCCAAGACTGACATATAAAAACCTTACATGGATCAGAAACCTGTAGTGAAACAGGGAGATCTGCTACCTTAGAAACTATAGACGAAGGATCTACAAACATAGCAAGGCCAACTTCAGTTAGGTTTGAACTAACTAGCCAAGTCCTAGACACTGGTAAGGCTCTAGTTTTACTTGTTGTTTTTATCTTACTTGTTAGTGCTTCTAGGAGTCATGCTATGTGCTTTCCCATATCTTAAATACTGCATTTTGGCCCAGTAGTGGGCTCATTTCTCTTGCCAATTCATTCTGCTGCACTTTCATGGGTGTAATTCAAAGCATGCCTCAGGCATGAAATACGATCTAGTTTCCAAGCTGAAAGGCAAACATCTCTGACAAATGAAAGCCCTTTGAAAGATTATACCAATTTGCTGCCTCCTTTGTATCAATTTTAATCTCTACGCATAACTTCCAACAATAAACAGGTTTTGCAAGTTGTAGAATACAATAAAAGTTGAAATACTTTGCAGATTTCATGTATCCCCTTACTGTCAGAGCACATTTAACTTAATTATAATAATTTGTACAAATTTAGCCATAGAAAAGGCACACTGGGATTGGTTCCTTGCACGAGTCCTCAACTCCAAAAAAAAAAAAAAAAAAAAAAAAAAAAAAAGTCCTCTTGCAGACCACAGGAGAGGAGGAGGAAAAAATTCAGTTAGTGTTCGGTAGTTAAAGACATCTTAAGTGAAAACAAATACAATGGAAGATAATGAGACAATTTGTGCGATAGGAAAAAAGAAGCTGGTGTCCCAGCGTATTTTTATTTTCTTTTTTCATCACATAACTTAGAACAAAGAACAGCTTGTTTGTTTGGGGAATATTTGCAGAGATATTGCACATGAAGCCTGCTGGCCTAACTTTACCCAAATTAAACAGGTATCCTGTATGTGAAGGAAAGTCAATTGCCTTTTTTTGTTTTTAACTTTATGGAGGACATCCAACAGGAGGGCGGGGGAGAAAAAGAACACTAGTTCTTAATGATGTTATTTACAACCGACCATGCATTTCATTAGACTGGCTAGGGTAGGGTAGGTTTTTTTAAAGAGCAATTCTTAGAACAAAAAGTTTCTTTCTGACCTGAAAGTATCACCACATGCTTGTCTGGCCTCACATCAATGACAATAATCAGGGTACCCAAACTTAGCAGCTTAACTGTGCTTCTTTGAATGGAAAGTTCCTTTTAGCCATGGGACAGACAGACCTTTCAACTACTAGGACCAGAGGATCTCATAGACAGAAAAGAAGGATGCTATCAAATTACCTGTCCCTAACATCTCACACCATTTGAGAGTCACCCACCTCTCCGAGGACCATTTTCAGGAGACTGTATGGAAAAGATAGAATTATCTGTCAGTGACTGTCTGTTCATTCCTCTCCAATAACAGGAACATCCTGTGGGCAGATAAAAAGGCAGTATTTGCCTGAAAAGGCTCAACAGAAGCAGGTTGAAATACTCAACATACACTTTAGCCAAGGGCCAAAATCCTGTTGTTTAGGAGTGTGGAAGGCAAATGGTTTAATCTTCTGTGGCTTTTTTTAACATTTATTTATGTATTTATTCATTCATTCATTGATTTGATTTGATTTGATTTATACCCCACCCATCTAGCTTAAAAGACCACTCTAGGCGGCTTCTAGTTGGCAATTATTGTGTCCCCACTGGGATTCTCCAATACCCCAGTGGGTATGCGTGCCCTCCCCCTAAGGATCTCAGCAGTGATCAATTAATAGTGGGCAAGAAGCAATCCCCTTCATGGATTGCTGCCTTGTTGTGGTGAAGGGGCTCGAGTAATTCAGAGAAGCTATGGGCTATGCCGTGCAGTGACACCCAAGATGCACAGGTCATAGTGGAGAGTTCTGACTAAACACGATCCACCTGGAGTAGGAAATGGCAAACCACTCCAGTATCTTTGCTAAGAAAACTCCATGGACAGAAACAAAAGGCTAAAAGATATGACGTTGGAAGAGAAGATGAGCAGGTCAGAAAGCGTCCAACATGCTACTGAGGAAGAGTGGAGGACAAGTATGAGTAGCTCCAGAGCTAATAAAGTGGTTGGGCCAATGCCAAAAGGATGCTCAGCTAATGGAGGGAGTGACAGATTTTACTTTCCTGGGCTCCATGATCACTGCAGATGGTGACAACAGCCACAAAAGATTACAGCTTCTTGGGAGGAAAGCAATGACAAATCTAGACAGCATCTTAAAAAGCAGAGACATCACCTTGCCAACAAAAGTCCGAATAGTCAAAGCTATGGTTTTTCCTGTAGTGATGTACAGAAGTGAGAGCTGGACTGTAAAGAAAGCTGACCGCCAAAGAATTGATGCCTTTGAATTGTGGTGCTGGAGGAGGCTCTCGAGAGTCCCCTGGACTGCAAGGAGAACAAATCTATCAATTTTGAAGTAAATCAACCCTGAGTGCTCACTGGAAGGACAGATCCTGAAGCTGAGGTTCCAATACTTCGGCCATTTTATGAGAAGACTCCAGAACTTTTTGAATGAACTACCAAGCATGGTTGTAGTTTTCAGCTCAGTGTTATTCCACAATCTACCCACATCTCAATGAACATACAGAATAATAATCTGTATTGACTGCTCTTTTGGATGGTGCTGATTTATGTGCGTTCTTTCCAATCTAGGTTTAGGCCTGGCTTGGGAACAAAAAAGCAGCCTTGGTCACCTATGGTAGAACGTAGAAGTGGAAATTCAATCCTGTCAATTCTGCTGGACAGTGGTATTTGATTACATTGGTTATTAAGTCTTTAGATGTGTTTGGCTTTTGGGGCTTGGAAGCACAAATTCCAGTGGTTCTACTCCAGAAAGTCCTGCTGGAGGCTATTGCTCAGTCCATGGTCACTGACTAAGGAGATTTTATGGGCTTCCCATGTGGCGCTCTATATTTTTTAAACAAACACATGAAACCACTAGGTCACCTAGAATGCTGGGGTTTAGTCTCATTATGCCAACGCTCAGATCTATTACTATTTTTCAGAGCAGGAAATGTGGGTCTGCATACGTTAAATCCCAGTTCTATTCCCCCAATATATCTAGGTAAGTTTAGGAAAGAAACATGCCTAGAACCCTTGTTGATGCTGACCATACCATGCCAGATGAGCAAGAGAATGACAGTCAACTCCCTAAGGTCCTCATTTTTTATTTGAAAGTAGCAATTTGAGTTTATTCATAAAATATAATCTGAGTCTTAAAAAAATCCCATCTCCATCTGTCTTAAATATATTTTGTGGCTAAAGGTGATTCATCAGGTATA